CAACGTTATCCAACACATCAACAAAAAGAAATATAAAAAACCATATGATAATATCAATAGATGCTGAGAAAGCTTTCGACAAAGTGCAACACCCATTCATGATAAAAGCCCTTGAAATCTTGGGATACAAGGAACATACATTCAACATCATAAAGGCCATCTATGACAAGCCAACAGCCAGTATCATTCTCAATGGTGAAAAAGCTGAAAGCAATTCCATTAAGATCTGGAACAAGACAAGGATATCCACTCACCACTGCTTTTCAATATAATACTGGAAGTCCTAGCCAGAGCAATAAGACAAGAGAAAGACATCCAAGGAATCCAAATAGGAAAAGAAGAAGTCAAACTAACACTATTTGCAGATGATATGATATAATATACATAGAGAACCCCAAAAAGTCCAGAAAAAACTAATTCAACTCATCATCAGTTCAGTAAAGTGGCAGGATACAAAATCAACACGCAAAAGTCAGTAGCCCCTCCTATACACAAATAATAATCTGAAGAAGAAGAAATAAAAAAACATCCTTTTATTATCGAAACAAAAAAAATCAAATATTTGGGCATAAATCTAACAAAAGAGGTAAAGGACCTATACAAAGAAACTATAAAACACTGTTAAAAGAAACAGAAGAAGACACAAAGAAATGGAAAGACATCCCCTGCTGCTGGATGGGAATTGGAAGAAAACATTATTAAAATGGCCATCCTACCAAAAGCAATATACAGATTCAATGCTATTCCAATCAAATTTTCAATGTCATTCTCAAAGAAATAGAACAATTATTGATGAAATTCATATGGAATCACAAAAAAAACCCGAATAGCCAAAGCTCTCCTGAAACAAAAAGAAGGAAATGGAGGCATCACACTCCCAGACTTCAAACTATACTACAAGCCATAATCATCAAAACTGTATGGTATTGGAACAAGAACAGACATACAGACCAATGGAATCGAATAGAAAATCCAGAAATAACCCACAGATTTATGATCAACTAATCTTTGACAAAGGAGCAAAGACTATGCATTGGAGCAAAGAAAGTTTGTTAAATAAATGGTGCTGGGAAAACTGGGTCGCTACATGCAAAAGAATGAAGCTTGACCACTACCTCACACCATAACACAAAAATCAACTCAAAATGGATTAAAGAACTAGACATAAGACCTGAAACCATAAAATATGTAGAAGGAAATATAGGCGAAACACTACGTGATTTGCACATCAAAGACATCTTTACAGACACATCACCCAAAGCAGTAATAGTGAAGGCAAAGATAAACAGCTGGGACTACATCAAATTAAAAAGCTTCTGCACAGCAAAACAGACAATAACAAAAACAAAGAGAAACCCCACCGACTGGGAGAACATTTTTGTACACAACACTAATGATAAAGGACTGATCACAAAAATCTGCAAAGAGCTGATGAGACTCAACAACAACAAAGAAAATAATCCAGTCAAAAAATGGGCAGAAGAGCTAAAAAGAAACTTCTCCGAAGAGGAAATGCAAATGGCCAACAGGCATAGGAAAAAATGTTCAACATCACTTGTCATCAGGGAAATGCAAATCAAAACTACCATGAGATACCATTCACACCAGTGAGAATGGCACATATTAAAAAAAACTAGCAACAACAAATGCTGGCGAGGGTGTGGAGAAAAAGGAACTCTTCTGCACTGTTGGTGGGAGTGCAAACTGGTCCAACCACTATGCAGAGCTGTGTGGAGATTTCTGGACCTACTAAACATAGAGCTTCCATATGATCCAGCAATTCCACTCCTAGGTATTTACCCAAAGGACACAGAAACATCCATTCCAAAGAGCACCTGCACCCCTATGTTTATAGCAGCACTGTTCACAACAGCTAAGCTTTGGAAACAGCCCAGATGCCCAAAAATAGATGACTGGATCAAGAAGATGTGGTACATAGACACCATGGAATATTACTCAGCATTAAAAGAAGATAAACACATGCAATTTGCAGCCACATGGATGGCGCTGGAAGGGATCATGCTCAGCGAAATAAGCCAGAAAGAAAAAGAAAAATACCAGATGGTCTCACTCATAGCAGGAATCTAGAAAACTTAAATAAGGGACCAGGAAAATGAATAACTGTAAGAAAGTGAAAATCAAAATCAACAAAAAACTATGAACCAGAGACACTTTTTGGGGGTTGGGGGCAGGAGGGGAGGGACTGGGGTCAGAATGGGGGGGTTGAAATTGTATGGGGAAATATAAAAATAAAATTTATTATTAATTAAAAAAAAGAAAGAAATGTATACATTGTACAAAAATGAAAAAACGATGTAAAAATTATATAAAATTAAAAAAAAAAATAATGCTCTTAGCAGCTGTGTTACACACACTACATGGTAGCCTGAGAGTGAGCAGACACCGGGGAGAAGCAAGTCCTTGGCTATGTGTCACTATTGCTGCTTAGTGACAAGAATTCCCGCCGCCTTCTGACAACGGACAGTCTTTCATACACAACATCTGCGTTTTCAATCAGCACCTTGAGGGCCTGGAGCATCAAGCTAGAAGCTCTTACAGGCTGTCCTTTTGGGGTTCTGTGGCGGCTTCCTAACATGGGCGTGATTGATGAAATCACTGGCCCTTGATGATGATCTCAAGCTACATCCTCGCCCCTCACAGGAAATACGTACTGATCTCTCCCTCTTACACTGGTATTGTGTACCTTTGACAAAAACATAGCTATTAGATCAAATATGCATAAAAAATGTTTTATTTACTGAGGTTATTTTTCCTTTATTTTATTATTACCTACATTTATTTTAGTTTATGACTATACAGTATATAATTTATGACTATATAATTCTCCTTTCTGAAGGGATTCTCAGCATAAGCTGAACATGATTATCTGTTGAGTCAATAGATTGGACAGACACAGCAATCTTTGATGGTGTGATAAAAGTGAGATATTTGGAATCAAGTAAAAACAAATCTGTAAGGCACAAGTAAGTGACACAAACAGATGTTGACTTTCCTTGTTGTACTGACTCTCATCTCTTAATTCACATCTATGGGCCTCATGAGGGGCTACACAAAACCAATGAATGAAAGAACTCAATTCTGAGAGATAACTTTGCTAGCAGAAAAATGACCCGCTGCCACAATGTGGCGCCATTGCTGCTGCTCTGCAATCTCAATAAACACATCTGCAATTGTGCACTTATTTTTTCTCTGTATTTCTATATTTTAAAAATAAAGTACATTGTTGTACATCCTTGTTAGTTCTTTGTTAGTGTAGGATTTCTCCCCTCAAGTGTGGTCGCCATGGTTAACCTACCAGCAAAGCACCTGTAGTCCATGACCTTAGTCTATCCTTTGCACTTGTTTTCTTCACGTTGTATAGAAGAAATGGATTAAGTAGCAGCCATACATTTCTGGGCATTAAAGAATAGTTTGAGTGGTTGTTCAGAATCCTAGAAAAAATAAGATCGAAATACTGAGGATAAGTAAGCTTGGATGAAAGATAGGTGTATATGATGAAGTAACTTATATCTTGAAAACCAGGGAGTGATTTAGTGGCAGCTGATTTTATCAGAAGGCTTACATCTTGGAAGGTGCAGTGATTTATCTCTCCATATCCTCCAGATATTTCTTAGCTCGTAAGTGTCTTCTAGTACCACCGTCTGAAAATTACAGAAGCTTGATTAACAACATGGGAATTCACATTGCATTGCCTTAGACTAAAAAGAATAATTTGGACTAATAGGCATATAGCAATCATTGGTGTGACATATGCAGGAGCATCAAGAGAGTCCAGAATAATAAGAATACAGAATGATCAATTAAACCAGCAAAGGAGCTGGCTGGAGACAGTACCCTGAGGAGCTGAGCACAGTATATAAAACTAAACTATTGGACTATTTATGGTGCTGTATCCCCAGTTGCTAGATGAGATGGGTCTGAGAGTTAAGGAATAAAAGTATGATGAGCTCTAGTCACCATCATTCATATTGACCACTTAATGTACTTTACACTTCTCATCTGTAAAAGTTAATTTCACTGGAATAAAAATCTTGCCTCCATGGGGTGGGGGTGGAAAATGATTTTACAAGACATTACAATGAGAATACCACTAAAATTAAAGATACAAAGGGCTACATATTTTGTGCATTAATGCTGGCATGCTAAATAGGCAAATAAAAGATTTTATCTATTGATGATGATCTAGTTGCCATAATTGTTTGATTAGTAATGATCCTGCTCACTGTGACAGGTGGGGGAACTCACATTGTGAGTAGGAAGAGCTATTTTACGACCTGAGGGACGCCTGATACTTATATGCCTGAAATAACTGAACACTGGTATTTGTCACAACCATAACCCGATGGGTATATCCCAACTAAGTCTTCCCAAGAGGCAATCAATGAAGACCGGTAGAAGACAGGCTGAAGCACAGCGGTACAAAGTAGAATGAGTGGGAACGGAGAAAAATGATGTCAATTATGGCAAAGTTTCAACTGGAGCAGAGGGGGCTGTGTCTGCTCCGCTGACACTCTTCTGCAGCGACCTTTGTGGTGATCGAGGCACTGTACAACTATGATGGTCATCTGATTTAATACGCACGGTATGACAAGGGAGCGAGCAGTGTTGGTCTATGTTGAAAACATCATGTCCCCGCCTTTTAGCTCTGTTTCAGCTGCTGGGTTTGGGGGAGGTTGTTTTGTGTGTGTTCGCTTGTTTGGTAATTAGAAAACATAGGAAGTCTCTTGTGTTGAGGAAGGCCACCACGAGAATGTGAGCACTTGTTGATTCAAAGTTGGACCTGGGATATTAAAGGCGCTGTACCTCTTCTCCCATCAGTATACATTCTGTTTGCCTTCCTTGCTCCTAGAAGCTGCCCAAGGACATATGACTGAAAAAGAAAAATGTTTAGACAATTTAGACAATATAGGTGATGACATAAACTTTTCAGTTTCGGTGATTACATAAACTTTTCAGAAAACTCCTTGTCTTGTAGCTGACCAAGACAAAGTTTTGTAAGTATGTACCATTCATTATTAAAAATGCCACCTACCAATATTCTAAGATCTTTCCAGGCCCTCCATGGATGGCAGTGGTTTCCTATCACGCTTAAAAAATCTCCTGAGGTTGTGACCTGTGACACAAGCACAGAGAATTTGCAAAACTATGAGACATGGCAATATGGATGTGTACAAAATGAAAATTGTTTCTACGTTTTCTTATATTTTTGGCATTTTCAAAGTTGTGAACAGTAAACTTTATATCTGTTCAAAACTTGTTAGGAAATTATTTTACTAAACATTTCAACTATAAAGACTCATACAGTTGGAAAAGTTATATAGTGATCGCTTGAATAACCAACCATTTACCCCTATAAAAAAATCTCTGGAATGAACATAAAGGATTACACACTGCTTTCTGACATCTTACGTTTTTCTCTAACCACTGAGAACAGAATGATTGTACGACTCCAAGACCATCCTCCAGGTTGTAACCTATGTGAGTTTTCTGTCTGTAATTGTGTAACGAGAAAAGCCATCTACCAACATCTGTTTTGAAGAATCCATAGCTCTTAGCTTTATATCATTATCTTCCTAGCAAAAAACCTGAGTATTTCAGGACTATTAAAATTATAGCTTTAAACACATTACCAAACCACGATTTAAGGTCTGCTAACACCTACGGGAATACAATTGGCTCGAGTTTTCCAGTTGAGATCATGGTCAGAGGTGTGATACATGCCAGAAACCTCAGAAAAACACATATTCACACATCACTCCACCCTTTGCCTCAAGGAAAAAAAAAAAAGGAAACAGAAGACTAGCAACTGTCCACCTTCTCCTAAAGTCAAGGCATTACCAGTTCCTCTGTGCAGACTAGGTTGTCAAGTTCCATGTCTGAATACACAGAAATGCACAGGTCATAGGTGAAACACAGCAGCAGACAACCTGTTTTAAAGAGCAGGTTCTCGTGGCATTCTCTTTGTACTAGATTTGACCATTATTAAGTCCCAAAATATCCTAAAATAGAACTGTCCAAAATTCTTCAAAGCATATCCTTGAGGAAACTGGAATGTATCACTGTTTCTCACTAAATGAAAACTTCAAATAGAAGTAAAAATAGTCTTCTACTTCAAGATATCATAGAAATTCATTTGTCGATGTCATTCACTGAGGTTTCAACACCATTTGAATAGACTTTGGAAAAATTTTATTATCATTTATAACTTTGGGGAGAAAAGCTACAGAGAATCAGATTAAACATTACAGCCATTGTTTTAAAACGCTCATTATTGTATCATTCTGCCCTGATATTATCTAATCATTTTATTATTTTTACTAACATGAAAAGGACCTATGAACATATGAGTCAAACCAAAGCTAAACTGTGAATAATAAAACAAAGTTAAACATTAGGTCTTCCCACATGCGTAACTCTTACTCTCTCTACTTATTATTTGTCTTTTCTTTCATTTTTGAAAAGTTTTATGAGATGTAATGGATATAAAATAAGCTCTGCATTTTGGCCAATTTTATTGAGGTGTAATTTACATAGCACATCATTGTTTATTTATCTTAATGATTTCATATATGTGCACATTGCATAATGATTACTGCAATAGATTTAGTT